TTTAAAGTTTAAACCTTAAATACATTTATAAATATATAAAAAAATACGGCAGTATTTTTCAAGTCTTAAAGATTAAAGAAGGAAAAAATTGTACTTCGTGCTTATTTTAATTATGCTCATTGTTTGAAGCAAAAAATAAAATACTTCAAATTAGATTTATTAAAATTCTTTTTAAATTCATTTCTTGTTTTTTTTAAGGAAACGTTAAGTATGTTAATGACTCTCAGAAGATATTACATTTTAATTAAATGTATTCTAATATTCATAGAAACATAAAAATAAACGCTTTATTTTAGTAACTTCTAAAATTTTAAGGACGTGTATTCTTTTTATTACTTACAATATTCATTTAAACATATTTTTGTTACTTTTCTTAGAAGAAACACTTTTTTTAAAATTAATTTTTCTGCTTTGGAAGTTAAGTATTTTTTCATAACATTATAAGTGAGATTTTTTAGTACTTTTTTTTAAATTAATCAAATTGTTCTTTATATTTTTAATTTAAATTCTGGGAACTACAAACATTCTACTATTTTTAGAAAGAAAAATATAAATATGTTTCTCAAAGAGTTTTCCTAAGCTTAAAAGTTCATTAGATAAAAAAGTTACTTATTTTTAAATATACTAAAATGTTAATGACCAGCGTGTTTTATTTTCGTCTCAAATATTCAACGAATATTCACTCAATAAGAAAAAAGAAAGTAACAGAAAACAAAGTCTGTTAATTTTTTTCTGCGAAAAAGGTGCTTTTCAGTCTCTTGGGGATAGTTGAATTGGTTACACATATTAGCGTGCTTATATACTACGATTGACCAGTAGGAAATTTTTTTTAAAAAAACAAACAAATAACGATAAATAGAATGAAATATAAATAAACCTTTTTGCTGCAATCTGTATGGTAGAGAAATTCCGGTAAAATTACCGAACTGTATGGTAATGATTGATTTGATGAGGATTGAAGTACTTATCGTTATCATATCTGAAAAAAAAACCATTCTGGTTTATAAACATATGGTGTTTAAACCATTTATTTCGTAATTTTCCCGCTCATATGCTAACGGTTTAACGAAAATTCTGGTTCTTACTACCACATACTCAAAATTATAGTTTTTAATAACACCCATTTAGTAAAAAATACAAAGTGAATTTAACTAAATAAATAGTTTGTATGTTGTGCTCTAAGTTATTCTGATAAATATTATCACATATTATAAAACATAATTTGTTGCTAATTTTACCAAAATTATTACCAATGCGCTATGGTAAAAGTTAGAGCTTTGTTGTGTTCCAATAGAGCTGGAAAAATGGTTAATTTTCTGGTAGTTTCAACCATACTTTTTTCTCAGTGTCTTTAAAAAAATTAATCACTTCATTACGAAATTAGTAATGAACAACAAGAATGAACTTAAATCAGTGAAATACTAGAAAACATTGTTTTCTGCTTCATTTTAGACCATCCCAAGGGATTTAATTTAAAAGTGAGTTTTGTATTCAAACTGCAGCTGTTGTAAGTAATGATGATATATATAAAAAAAAACTTTTAATTTTTTTCTGTTAATTTTTTAACAGTTTTAGCAACTCATTCTGTTGACAACCGTTGTAGCTAGTTTTAAAGTACCTCAATGTTTTTTTTCTAAGTAAAACTTCGCCAACCACAGATTTTTATCTTCTTCCCTTTTTCTTTAGTTTTCAGCAGGGTTGGCAAGTTTTTGACACATGACTGTTTTTACCAGTTTTTACCATGGTTTTTACCGTCATGTCAAAAAACCCTATGTCAAAAACTGTCAAAAACCCATAATTTTGGTAAAATAATTTATAAGTATTTGGTAAAATAATTTTGAATTTTCTTGAATTTTGGACTCATCCATACTAAACTTAGAAATCGACTGGGCAATGAAAAATGCGCAAAATTAGTCACTTGCTATCGTATGCTTCGGCACAGTGACCCCAACTACTGAACATGTAATTTTGTTTGTAATTAAGCTTTGCTTAATGTGCTTTTTCAACTGAATAAAAGTATTTAACTTGACAAAATAGCAGTAATTCTTGACTTAGAGTTTGTTAGTAGTTACAAGTTTTGAAAGTTTTGTTTAGCTTATTTCTAATATTTAAGAAATGCCAAATTTTAAATTCTTTTTAGTTCCTGAATTTATTAATAGTTCCAAGCTTTTTTGTTTGTTTACTTATTTCTAACAATTAAGAAGTGCAAAATTTTGAATCATTTGCAAATCAAGCTATTATGATAAAAGTAAGTATCACTATTTTCAATAAGTATATTACAATATTTCTGTATGAATGTATATCCTTCTATAAGAATACGTGTATATAGTTGGAAAATCAATAGCAATCATTTACAACATTCATTTATAAAGGCAATTATGTGAAAATAATATATTATCCGCTATATGCCATAAATTAAATAAAACAGTAGATTTTTGACAGTTTTTACCGGTAAAAACACGGTTTTTACCACTGTCATGTCAAAAACCAGTTTTTGACGGCAAAAACCCAACCCTGGTTTTCAGTAAACCTTATTTTTTAAGTTTATATTTGAAGACATTGTAATTGGTATAAACTATTTAGTCAAAATTACATTAACTGAAAAATTAAATTTACATCGTTTTAAAAAAAAATTTGTAACAGTGCAATGCATTTTCAAAATTCATATTACGCTTATAAAAATGAAAAAAAAGATAAATAAAAAAAGCAATATTTTTATTTGAGTTTGAAACATGAAAACATAAATCAATAAAAATCCAATTTTGAAAAACGAAGAGGAACATCAAATTTAAGAAAGCATAAAATTCTTAGAAATATAAAATATTGAATTCTTCGAAATATAAAACCAAGTGTCTAAAATAAAGACATCGTTAAAACTTGAGAGATGTTTTTAGAAAATATAAGTTAAACGATAAGAAAATAAAACTATAAATTCATTTCATTTGTCTACCTCAAAAGTTTTTATTCAATAACAATACAACGAACTTTTATTACGGTATCTTCTGAAGAGCAATATGCCTCAAATGTTCCAAAGAAACAGGAAAATAAGACATAAAGAAGTTTTTTTGACAAAACTACTTGTGAAAAAAATTTCAAATATGCTCTTGTAAAAGAAAAAAAAGGGAACTTGAAAGTGTGAAAAAATGAATTTGACGCAGAGAAAGGATAATTTTTTATGACTTTGTAGGGGAAATGATTTTTTGCCAGGAAACTCAGTTAGATGCATCTAATCTGTTCAGAATTTTCGTTCCATGTGGTATAAATTGCTGACATCTTCTTTTTCGGATTTGATTATTGTTAGTGTTCCACTTGGATCAATGCCAAAACATTACTTTTAAAGTTGAAATAAAGATTAGGTAGTACATTTTATTTTTTTAAGTATTTGCAAGTAAAAATGTTTAACCTAAAAAATTCGTTTCTTTTACGCTGGTTACTTTCATGTGAAATAAATTTAAACTTTGGGCAAAATAAATATAATTTGACCAGGGTGCTCAGCCAAATCTTACAACAAAAAATAAGTATCTTTTAAATACTTTTTAAGAACTCAAAAATATTTTTTACCATTATATACATTAGCAAAATGCAAAATAATTTTCAAAGGCTTTACATGATCATGATAAAATAACTAGTTTCTGACAAAGAACTCTTTCCTTGATTATATTAGCCATTATAAAATGATCAAGAAATTTTTCATTTCGATATTAGAGGGTGGAAAATTAAGCAAGAAATTGAGAATATCTTTCAAAATGCATCAGAGTTGCACATACGAGTGCAATAACCTCACCCTACCCAGCTCTGTAGGCCCACATGCGGACTCGCAAGTATTTCATCAAACATGTAAAATGATTGGAGCTTCCATGCGCTATGGACCGACAGTACACCGAAATAGATTGTGGTTGAATAAAATTGTGAAAACGTTGAATAGAACAATGAGAAAAACACGCTTTTGCATAATATGTGGCGAAATTCAACATGGTAAAGAATAAAATCTCATTTTCGAAAATGGAAAATTAAGCACTTTTTTAAAAACACCCAATGAAAAAAGCACCCTTTGGGCTTTTAAAAAACGAAAATCGAAAATAACCACCTTTACGCAAAAAGCTTTTTTAAAAACGATTTGCACCATGTTTGACTTTAAAAATAATTTAATATATGCGTAAACAGTAAAATTAACAAATTAAAATTAATCAACATAAATCATGAAAATAACATCATACACACTTTTTTTAATTAAAGAGGATTATTAAGATCATAAAAGGATGTGAAAATAGTACGTAATAGTCGAAAATTTTATTATTATTTTATTGTTATTATTATTTGGGGCATGAACTATAATACTCTGATTTTCGATCCAGTCTGACATCATCATGGCTCGTTTTTTGAAGTTACTCAACTGCCTTCGGCCCCATCTAGTTACACTTAACGGAAACCTATTATTGAATCAGTAGATGTGAATAGTTCACACTTTACAGTCTATTATTAGTATCTGTCATATATTTATTCATGGCTGTCATATCTGTCATATATTTATCCAAATATAATCGTATGGATACGATTATATTTGTAGAATGAATTGTTAATAATTCTTTGAGATTTATAGTTTTGAGTTCTTATGCTTCACTGCAATAAAAATTGTGGAATTAAGATTGGATTGTGTGAACTCATATTAGTGTTACGAATATTTTTCCTTCCATATTGTGCATTTATGTAGAAACATAAAATTTTGTAATACACTCCAAATCTTTTATTTCACATTTTCGTTCTATATGTAATAAGTAAAAAATATTACTGTCTTATCTCTCATTTAATAAATTCTATAATAAACAGGAAAAAATAAAGAAATCTACATTAATAACATTTTTCACAATTTATTTTTTAGTTTAAAACGAGTAATGATACATGTGATTCATATATTTATCTATTTATTCAACATTGAAATAAATTTAAGAATAGGGTAAAACGATGAGAAATTAAAATATTTAAAATAAATCGCTACTTACTTTTCAAAATGAATTTCTGTCTTCATTATAAACGACACCTTTAATGAATTAACATCTGGCAATTTCAAGCAACTATAATGAAACAAACGAACAAACGATTAAAAAGAACTCAATAAGTTAAATTATAAAAAATGAAAATAAATAAAAAGCTCCTTTTCAATTAAGTTTAACAGATAGTGAAGCTTTTTTTTTCTCTTAGCGTAGTGTTAAAACTGTTGCAATTTTGGTGCGCATCAATAGAAAGAAAGAAAAAAAAACGCGTCGTCTTTTTATGTGCTTAATGATTAGAGTAGAAATTCCTTATATATTTCGCTTTAATATTTGGTAAACAATGCGATGCGGTACAACTGCTATCTTTTATTTCTGATATAAATTATCACGTTTAATTGTCAATTAAAATTTTGCATTTGATAGCAATTTACCTCTTTTTAGCCCTGTTAATCCACATGAATAATTCCTATTTTTAATTCTTGCAACCTCGCATTCATCGATCTTTGTAAAAACTTATTTTAAACTGGCAAAGGATATTTTATTTCATTTTTTAGACTTGCTTAAAATTACAAGAGTGAATTCCGCAACTTCTATTATCTGTTTCCCTTCCAGGATAATTTTTTAAATTTTTGTGGTCTTATAAATTTTATAACAGTTGTCAAAGATGACATTTTTGTTTCAACTTTAATTTGCTTAATACTTTACAGTATTTTTTTCTTTCATTGAAAAGCTATGCATCCCTTCCGTTTAAAGAACTCAGAATACGTCTTAAAAAATAGTAAACAAGTTTATTTTAAAAAAATAAGTTAATTGTAAAGGAAACTGTTTTGAAGTATGTGTTCTTACGAGGAACTAAAGCAAAGCAGACCCCAAGAAACACTTGATAAAGCGTATTTGGCTCTGGCGTTAGTTTTCTTCACACAATGTTGATAGAGCAAGAATGAATAACCAAAACACACTTAAAAATGTAATATTCACAAAAAAGCTGACGGTGAGTATTTGGTACTCCAGAGTGAGCGTGTTCCGTTGTGATTTTATAAAACCTAGTTCATACAGGGTTGTCACAGGCGAGTAAAATGCAACTATTTGCAACTTTTTTTGCCTGAAAAGGCTAAAAAAGCAACTATTTTCAGGAAAAGGAGACTATTGGGAGACTTTTCTGTCCTCTAGCAATGTTTTTTTAATTTTTTTTTTATTTATTTTTTTTTATTTTTTTTTTTTAAAGCATAAATTGGATGGAAAATCTTCACCCCACAAGATAGTTTCTGAACAAACTGAACTTTTTTTTTCTTAAAAAGTAAAAAATGTAGCAAATTTGAGTCTTCAATTTTTAAATCGTTCAATTTGCACAGACTCCATTGTAAGTCCATTTCATTTCTCGATCGCCTTTTTAATGATTATTTCTATTAAATTCCGCATGATTTAAAAAAAAAAATTATACTATATTACGATGCGTGAATTTCGAATTCGAGTAATCACTTTTCATATATATATATGTGTGTAAAACATTTACGTTTATAAAAAAATGATCATATTTGCCACCAACTTGACTGAATGGATCATGGTATAACAAAATTTTAGTCATATTTTTGTTCTTATTTAGGCAACTATTTTCCTAGTTTTTGCCTACTATTTTCACGTTTTAGGCTACTAAAAGCAACTATTTTGTTCATTTTTTTTTCTGTGGCAAGCCTGTTCATATAACACAGTATAAATATGCCGCGATTAACGTAACTAAATTATATAAAATTCAAAAAAGAGTCGGGGTGGCTCAGGGGATAGAGAATTCGCCCTCTAATGAGGTGAACCGGGTTCGAATCATAGCGATGACTGGTCGATACGAATTCAGCATACGGCTTGTACTGACCACAATAATGACGTAAAATATCCTCAATGGTAGACGGATCATGGGTTAGAGTCCCCTTGCCGTGGAGTTAACCTTGGGAGAATTTCGTGGTTTTCCCCTCCATGTAACGCAAATTCGAGTTAGTTCCATCATAAAGTTCTTCACGAAGGCTCTCAATACTTGATCCTTGTGCCGAAATTGCAAAACTATGGAGTTGAACATTAGTAGCCGTAAATAAAAAAATTATGTCGGCTGTTCAACGACGGTTATAAAATAAAATAATTCAAACGAAAAACAGCCTAGATTAGTCAACATGACATTGCAAAACCACACACTGAGCAAATGAGTATGGCAGAAGTACAGGAATGTGAACTTTTTCATAATACCCCATTGTCACTGGATCTGTCTCTCACTGACCAACACTTGTCCATGAATTCGGACAACTCTTTAGAAAAACTATTTTAAAATGCTAAAATGCTGTAAAACTGGCCTTTCTGGAACTCACGTCCCAGTTTCCCGAACAATATGGCAATAAAGTAGAGAAAATAAACTTTGATGAATGAAATTCAGAAAAAAAGTTTTATTGCTCTTAAAAGCAATTTAATAAACGTTATTATAATTTTTATGCCTGTCTAAACCTGTCGACTTAGGCAAACAGTATTGTTCAATAATGATCTGTGTGGTTCTCTGATGTTTTAGCTGAGAGCAGACATACGAGTGGAACGGTAAAAGAAAAAAAAGAAGAAGAAAAAACGGTGATAGACAGTAAAAACTCGAAAGCAACGGTTAGAATTTATTATTATTAAACAACTCTCATAAGTCCTGCTTCAAATTACCAACACACAAAGAGAAGAAAAAAACAGTGATTTTAATAAATATAAATTGAAAAAATTGTTTTGCTCAAAAAATACGTATTTTTAAAAAAAAGAAAACCTCACAATTCAAACTTCTTTAAGCATTTACATTGTAATATTTTACTAAAGTCATTATAATTATTATAAGTTCTCTTCGTTTGTAATATTTTTTGGCGTAGAAATTCCATCATTAATACAGACAAATGAAATGCTTAATAATTGACAGTTCACCAAAAGTCATTTCCCAAAAGAAATTTCTTTAATATCAGGGAGATTATAGAATAGCAGAAATTTATCCAAGCAAATGAAAAACACCAAGAGAAAGTGATTGTTTCTTTCCTCCGCTTCGTATTAAAGGAAAGTATGATTTAGGAAAGTTTTGCTCTCAAATCTGTTTCTTTAACAACCTAATATATTATTCAAAAGACAATTTCTATTATGAGTAGAAATAAAAAAAAATGCTGTTTAGTTATTGTTTTTACTGTTGCTAAAAATATATTGCAATCATAAAAAAAAGGAAGAAAACTTCGTATTGAATAATAAATTTTTCATTCAGTAATAGATAAGAATTACAGAAAGATTAAGATTCATTACTTATCTCATAAATCATAAAACTTGTGGGCAAAAAGATAGCTCAAAATTAAAAAAAAATCCCCATTTTCACTTTAAATTTAATTTCGAAGTTAAATTTAATTTCGAAGTCAGTCTAGTGCTTGCATTTTAGTTTTATAATCAGACAGAATAAAGTTTTGAATATTTTTAATTCCTTTTTCTTTTGGGATAGAACTCGATAACGTTTCATCATTTTCCCCCACTTCCATGATCAGCAAAATGTAGCATGTATGTATTTTATTTTTGAAATAATTTTTAAATTTAAGCAATCGTATTTAAGACAATCTTTGTTAAAATAATAATCTATTTTTATTACAACTAAGTAAAGATAAATGTGTGTTTCATTAAAAAAATTTCTCTATTTTTTTTGCATTTTTCTTTGATCATTTACGTAGTAACATTTCTTTAAAGAAAGAATGCTCTGTTGTATGCAGATTATGGTGATTTCAAGAGCCACCGCCTAAAACGATACAAATCAGAAAACCTCACCACCTGAATTAGAACAATTTCAATTCTATCTACAAATGAAAACGCCTGAAACGATAATAAAACTGCAATTTCAAGATGGCAGTTAAAGCTATCACGTGAAGGGGGTTAAACTTCAAATACCTATTTTCATCCTAAACGACAACTTTTAAACAGTTTAAAGCTTTGCTTCATTTATTTTCTTATTCGATAATTTAGGATCTGTCCCATGGATATTTTCTTATGTACGTGCCTTTTGGCGATAATATAAAGTCCAACCATTATTTTATAATATTCAAACAGAAATTCCACTTAATATAAATAGTTGATATTTAACATAAAAACACGCTTTTTGTAAAAAGTAACTCAGAAAGACTCATCAACCAAAATATATTTTTGAAAAATAGAAAAAAAAATACTAATATTTTAAACTATTGTGCAATAAAGAATTATAAGTCGTTTTTCAGTGAAAAATAAATCTGGTATTTTTTTACCCTAAACAAAAGTCAACATGAAGGGGGAAAAAGTTATGATATCCAAGATTACGAGCCTCGGATTTAAATTTCAGGGCAACAAATCTCTCAAATGATTAATTTTGCTAATCAACTTCTTGAAAATCTATGCCATCTTATATCGGTATTCCTTGACATCATGTTGACTTTTGTCATCTTTATGTTGAAATTTTTTTTTGTTCATTATAAAAGAAATGTACCATTTTTTTCATTATAAAGTAACTTGTATTTCTTTTTCACATAATAATCTTAGAGGTAAGGGGTTTTTTCTATTTTTCAAAAGTTTTTTTTCTTCCTTTATGGATGTTATAAGTTTTTGATAAATTATAATAATATATTAGATAACGTATTAAATAAATATACATACAGTTAATAATCTGACACCCAAAACAAAAGTAACGATTCTAAAATTAAATGCAATTTGGATCAAAGTTTTTACATGCTTTTTACGAATAGCTTTAACAGATTTAATAAGTTTATCCGCAGAGAAAGTGTGTATTTTTGAACTTAACCTTATCCATCGGTTTTGTGGATAAGGGGGCCTTAAACATTTCATTTACAACAACGTATAAAAAGCTTTTTTATTTGAATTTTGAGTAAAATCTTGAATAAAGAATTTCTGTGGGAGTACAAACGAAATAAGAAATTAATATACAATTGCCTGTTTATTGCTTATTTCGGATAATTTTAAAATCCGAATTAACAGAATTCTATGTAGACCTTAAAAAGATCCAATCTAATTAATGTTATTTTTCATTCTAATATTTTCCGTTTGTCTTCCTCTTAATAATG